CTACAAATGCCATGGCACACAAATAGATAAAAATACCAAACTACAAGGGGAGACACAAAATGCACACATACAAATTTTAAAACACAATTCCTTATCTTAAAGTGAAAGAAAGAGGAAGGAAGAAAGGTAGAAAAAGAGAAACATATCCAAAGAAGGGAGAGCAAATGCAGGCAAGAGGAAAAGGGGGCTTTCTGCTACAGCAGCACCCAAAACTGGATGCAGAACTCCAGCTGTGGTCTCACCAAGGCTGAATAGAGCGGAAGGATGACATCCTTCGTCTTGCTTGAGATGCCTCGGTAGATGCATGCCAGTGTTTGATTTGCTCTGCCAGCTACGACATCACACTGGTGGCTCATGTTCATTCTGTGGTCTGTCATGACCCCCAGGTCTCTTTCAGTTGTGGTGATGGCAAGCATAGCACTGCCAAGCCCGTAAGTGTGTTGCGGATTATTTCTCCCCACATGGAGCACTTTATATTTCTCCGTGTTAAATGTTATCAGGTTATGATCTGCCCACCTTGCAAGCCTATCCAGGCCAGCCTGTATCGCCAGCCTGTTCTTGAGCGTGACCACACTCCCCCATACGCATTTGGTGTCATCTATGAACGTTGCCAGTATGCTTTTACCCGAATCCAAATAATTGATGAACATGTTGAAAAGCAACTGGCCCAAGTACTGAACCCTGAGGGATACTACTGAAAACCTTCTGCCATGTTGACTCAGTTTTGTCTATTAATACTCTCTGGGTCCTATCTTGGAGCCAGTTACCTAGTCCCTGGACCATAAAGCTGTCAAGGCTGCATTTTCCCAATTTTACCATGTGGACATCACGGGAGACAAGGTTAAAGGTCTTTTTGAAGTCCAAATATATGACATAAACCTCATTTCCCTTATTCAGGTAGCGAGTTACCTGATTGTAGAAAGAAATGAGGTTCGTAAGGCATGACCTGCCCGCAATGAAGCCATGTTGGCTGTTCTTTAAAATATTGCTTTCTGTTAGTCTATCAATAATGGATTCTGTGATAATTTTTTCCAGGATTTTACCAGGGATTGCAGTCAAACTGATTGGCCTGTAATTTCCTGGGTCCTCCTTTCTCCCTTTCTTGAACATGGGCACCACATCAGCTCTCTTTCAGTCTTCTTGGACCTCTCCCAAGAGCCACAAGTCCTCAAGTAGCTTTGCCATAGGTCACACAATGATGTCAGCCAGTTCTTTTAGCACTCTTGGGTATAGTTCATCTGGTCCTGCTGACTTGTAGTTATTCAGCCTCTGTAGGTGTTCCCCAGCAAGATCATTGCCAACTATGGAAGGGTGACCACCTCACCTTTGATGATATGGTATCCTATTAAGCAGGCTAACACCCTTGGACTGGTGGAATACCGACGCAAAGTATTTGTTTAGGGGTTCAGTTTTGTCCTGAGTGTCAGTTATCAGCTGTCCCATTTCATTCATCGGGGCCCTATGCTTCCCTTATTTTTTTCTGACTTCCTACATATCTAAAGGAGGACCTTTTCTTGTCCTTGATTACAGTTGCCAATTTGTATTTGGTTTTTGCCTTTCCTTTCCTAATCTGCTCCCTATGGGTGTGGGCTATTGCTGAGTACTCCTCTTCCATGCTAATTTCTGAGTTCCATCCCTTATAAGCTTCTCTTCTCAATTTCAGGAGGTCCATGACTTCCCTATTGAGTCAAGGGGATCTCCCAGTCCTTTGACTGCCCTTCTTATGAAAAGGAATGGACTTCCTTTGTACACCTAGGATTGCTTCCTTGAGGAACCACTTTTCTTGTACTCCTTTCCCCATCAGACCATGGCCCCACAGGGCCTTGCCAACCATTCTACAAGCTTGTGGAAGCCAGCTTTCCTGAAATCAACGATTTCTACCCTACTGACTGATTCCCCTGTCTTATGGTGGATGGAGAAAGTGATCATCTCATGGTCATGGTCACCTGGTTTCACTTCGATCCCCAGGTTGCTCACTAGATTGTCCCCTTTGGCCAGAACCAAGTCAAGGAGTACCTTACCCCAGTTGGTCTGTAGACTTAGTCAGAACTCTTCAATGCAAATGAGGAAGCTTTGTGAGTGATCACTGATCAGATCTTGCTGAGTCTTCATCCCATGAGGTGTCTGGATCGTTGAAGTCATCCATGACTACCATGCTTCAAGCATGTGCAGCTTATGCCAGTTCTCTAGAGAATTCCCAGTTGGGCTCTTCCTCTTGGTTCAGAGGTACAGTCAAATCCCCTTCCCCGTGCTCTCCCCATATGTTGACCCAGAGAATCTCAAGATACTCTTCTTCACTGCCAATGTCTGCTTCTAGAGAGGTGTACCATTCCTTCACATAAAGAGCAACTCCTCCACCCTTCTTCCCAACACAATCCTTCTTATGCAGGGTGTAGAACTCTACCTGTGGTACAATCATAGGTGGAGTCCCACCAGGTCTCTTTAATCCCTATGAGATCATATTGCTTGTTCGTTAGCAGGAGGGCCAGTTCCTCCTACTTGCTCTCCATGCTCCTGGCATTTGTGTACAGGCAGAGATGACCGTAGCAGGGTGCAGGGCCAAGATGCAGCGAGGGAGCAGGGTGGCAAACAGCCAGACACCAAGTTGGCATGACTCTGCAGGGTCCCCCAAAGCGTGGGGCCCAGGGCAGTCTCCCCAATTCACTCCCCGCTAGGGATGGCCCTGTGTACAGACAACTAAGCCTGCCATTGGAGGCCTTAGGCTTCCTGGTGTGCTGCAGAAAATCCTGTCCTTCAGCTGGTGTCAGAATATGCTTCCTATTGTTCCTAAAGGTGCAAATATGTGATATTGGACCAGCACTGATGTAAAGAAAATTGACTGCATCAGAAATCAACCTGATGTGGCCAATGAATGCTTGTGCATGTGCGCAGCATGTTGGCAGTGAGGAGCACAGCATGCAGCTGGTAAGTCTGTGGTGGAAGGGGAGAGAAGGGGCGGGGGGCCAGATCAATGCCCCCCACGGTGAGGGAAGGAGTGGGGCAGGGGCACTGGATGGGGCGGGTGACTCCTGCTGCTGCATGCACCCTGTGGAGGGGAACGTGTGCCTCTGGATCTGTGCGGTGGAGGAGGGCTAAGGCTGTGCTCAGGGTGGGCAGTGTTGGGAGCGGGGCTACAATGAATGGGGGTGGGGGAGGCTGCAGCCTCCCTACCAGTGCCACTGCTGCCCACCCTGAGCACAGCCTAGCCCAACACCCCCCAGGAAAAACCTGGCACAGCCCCAGCCCCGGCCCACAGCTGGAGCCCCCCCTCATGCAGATCCAGGGGAACCCCCCCAAGCCCTC